CAATTTAATAAGATGCTCACTTCACCTTAACGAAGATATTGAAACTACTTCAACTCCTTTAGTTCAGAAGGTCTCTCCCATGAACAAAGCCACATCTACAAGGCAAAAGGTTATATTTAGGACCACTATGTTTCCATTTAGCTATATATGTATAATGCCTTTCCTCTTTATAGATACAGTATTGGTCTGTTTGTCTTTGTTAGAAAAATACAAGGAGAATATTAAAATCGTATACCCACTTATTGCCTCCACTGATGTCTACTTGTTAGATATTGAAACCATAACTAATATCCCATGTGACTCTGTTCATGCATAATATACCTGAATACAAGTGGAACAGAGTATAAATATTCTGTAGCTTGCTTTTATTAATATATTGCTATGTATTAGACATATAGATTTTTCTTATTTATCCTTTGGTCATACAGTATTCATTTATGTGCATATAGCATGATATAGCGGATCCCTTAGTAAGTGGTTTATAAGATAAACTAGAAAAATGAGGCAGGTGGTAACAATTTTGGCAAGAAATGTACTCACTACCTTATATGTGTAACTGTAACCCCTCTGTACATCACCTTGACAATAAAATTAAGTTTAGAAAAAAAAATAGAAGGAATAAATTTAGCCTAAAGGCACTGAAGTATAAAAATAAATAAATAAATAAATAAATAGAATGTGTCCTTAACAAATAAAGACCTTGTGATAACCATATTTAGAAGAAAATTGTCTGACCAGCAACCTCCAGTTTCCAAGCAAGGACATGTTCACTCTAGCTTTTCAATGAGAAGTTCTCCGAGACACGACCATTGCTTCTCCCGCGGCCAGTGGGTTTAGAAGACAAACTCTGGGGGGAAATCATCAGAGTAGCAGGAGAGAATGCAGGCGTTGAGGTCAGTGCTGATACGACCCCAGTGATTTATGTAAACGGGCTGAGCCTCAGTTACTTCCTGTGTAGATTAGAATGATTAGCCCCGCCTCACCATCTTGCTGAAAGTTCTACTAAGAAAAAGGTCTGAAAGGCTTGCTTCAGATCTAGCCATGTCTTCATCTGATTTTCATTAGCATCAATTAATTATGCAAAAAAATCATATATGCGTATAGTGTACTGTGCGCAAGTTCACTCCATCTATATTATTCTTTCTCAACCCTTCACTTGTATACCCTTACATTTTCAGTCATGTTCACCCCTATACCCTCTCTACTCCCCTTACCCCTTTGTAGGACTACATCCCATGTATAAAACGAAAACATGTGACATTTGTCTTTTTAAGCTGGGTTTATCTCACTTAACATGATGGAGATCAAGACATTTTCTCATGTATTCTTGGCAGAAGAAATTTAATCCTCAAAACAAATCTCTCATCCTAAGAAAGCTTAAACTGAGGCTTTAGCAACTTTCTCAAGGACACACATCTAGCCAGAGAGGAGCTGGGATCAGAACCGCAGTCATCCGGCTTTCTAAACATAGAGAATGCAAGTTTAACTCGTATCACATAAAATTCATCTTCTCAAAAAATATGCAATTCTGTGGAGTTTGGTATATTCACAAGACTGTGCAGTCATCTGTATTATCAAATTTCAGAGCATTTCCATCACTCCAAAAATAAGTCTTCTGCTATGAGCAGTCATTCACAGTTCACCTCTCTCTAGTCAATAGAGAGAGATCTATTTCCTGTCTTTATAGATTTCCCTGCTCTGGATAATTGTTTCTCATAATGGAATCCTATAGTTACATGGTCTTGGTGTTGGGCTTCTGATATTTTGCAATATTTTTCTTTCTATGTATTTATTTATTGTTATTGTAAAGGTAATATACAGAGAGCTTGCAGTTGCATGTTAAGTAATGAGTACATTTCTTTTTAAACAGTGTTACTCCTTCCCTCCCTTTCTCCCAGTTTTCCCCTCCTTACCCCCCTTCCCACAAGGTGTATAGTTCATTTTCAACAGTGTCTAGTGTCACTGCTGCATTTGCTCATTTTGTTCCCACCATTTCTGTGTCTTCTTTTACCCTTCCCCAAACAGATAAACTTACATGTAAGATTAAATGTACAGAAATCAAACACAGCGACCAGGCAGAAAAATAAAGAGCAAAATAATTTAAAAAAACGTTTGTTTCCATTTCTTGGCGTTCATGGTGATAAATATCATTTTACGTGATCATCTTGTTTTGCAATGTTTTTCTAGTCACTCGTGTTGTGGAGTGCACCAATACTTCGTTCCCTGAAGTGGCTGAATATCCCTTACAGCGACGTTGGTTGGTCATGTGGCGCTGCAAGGCCCTTCGTGTCAAGGATGGGCCTGGACCCCTGTCTTTAATGCTCCTGGGACATGCAGCATGGCGGGAGAGCTCAGGGAAGTCATGTCTTCCAAGGGGACTGGGGGCCCTGCTCTTTTCCATTCTCTTTTTCTCTTTCCAGGTGCCATGAATGTCTGTCCTCAGCAGATATTCCCACATAATCCCTACCATCTCATACTGCCTGGCACAGGCTGACAAACCAGGGGTCAAACGGGACATGGACTGAACCCCCAAATCTGTGAGCCTAAGTAAACCTTTGCCTCCTGCAGGAGTTCTGTTACAGAGAAAGAAACCTCATGGATGTAGTCATTCTGTGCCTCGTGTTTTAAGGAACTGACAAGCTGTTTTCCACAATCACGTCAACATTTCTATCTGCACCGACAAACGAAGAGTTCCCATTGCTTCACAGTCTCGTCAACATCTGTAATGGTCTATTCTTTAATAATTATTATAGGAAATCTGAGTGTATGAAAGAGAGTCTAATTATGGCTTTGGTAAGGACTAATGATGTCAAGTATTTCTTCAGATGTTTTTTTGGTCATGTGTATAACTTCTTTAGAGAAGTATCTAGCCATATCCTACCCACTTTGTAATTTGGTTGTGTATGTGAAAATAACATACAGAGGGGTTACAATTACACAGGCAAGATAATAAGTACATTTCTTATCAAGCATTGTTGCCTCCTCCTTTGTTCCCCCTTACCATCCTTGCCCATCTCCACCCCCCCACCCTCCGCCCTTCATCTCCTCCTAGTCCTCCCCCGCCAAGGTTGTAAAGTTCGTTTTTCGACATAACGACTTGTACATCTCATTGTTGCAATGGTCCACCTGTATCCCTATTTAAACGATTTCTTTTTTCCCTTCCCCTCTACAAATTATACCAACATCAAATACAGTGAAAGCAGGAGCTATACCATGGGGGAGGGACATACAAAGCAACAAAGAAATCATCTTATAAATATGTTAGAAACAATAGCAAGAAAGAAAAACCACTTGAGTCCTTATCTTGGGGTTCATTTTGCCTAACATCAACTTATCTGACCTTTTCTGCTTGACTCAGGCATATATTAGTTACTGCAAATAAGGGAAACCATGGGACCTATGTTTCTCTGGGCCTGGCTTACTTCACTTAATATAATTTTTTCCAGCTCTTTCCATTTCCTAACAAACGGGGCAATGTCATTCTTTCTGATGGAGGCATAGAATTCCATTGTGTATATATACCACATTTTCTTGATCCATTCATCTACTGAGGGGCATCCGGGTTGCTTCCATATCTTAGCTATGGTAAATAATGCTGCAATAAACATAGTTGTGCTGGTAGCTTTAGTGTGGTCTTGTTTGTGATCATTCGGGTAAATGCCCAAAAGTGGGATTGCTGGGTCATAGGGGAGCTCTATGTGAAGTCTTTTGAGGAACCTCCATACTGCTTTCCAAAGTGGTTGAACAAGTTTATACTCCCACCAGCAGTGCAGTAAGGTTCCCTTCTGTCCACATCCCCTCCAGCATCTGTTGTTGTTAGAGTTCTTGATTATAGCCATTCTAACTGGGGTGAGGTGGTATCTCAATGTTGTTTTGATTTGCATTTCTTCTGTGGCTAGGGAGGTTGAGCATTTCTTCATGTGTCTATTGGCCATCCTTCTTTCCTCTTCAGAGAAGTTTCTCTGTAAGTCTTTAGCCCACTTATTTATTGGGCAGTTGCTTCTTTGAGGATTTGTTGTTGGGAGATTTAATTTTTTTGTTTTTGGTCAGTTGTGGGGCTTGAACTCTGGGTTTGGGCGCTGTCCCTGAGCTCTTCAGCTCAAGGCCAGCACTCTACCACTTGAGCCATAGCACCACTTCCAGTTTTCTAGTGGTTTATTGGAGATAAGAGTCTCACGGACTTTCCTGCCCAGGCTGGTTTTGAACCCTGATCCTCAGATCTCAGCCTCCTGAGTAGCTATAATTACAGGCGTGAGCCTGGCGCCTGGATTGGGATTTAATTTTTTGAGTTCCAGGTATATTTTAGATATGAGACCCTTGTCTGTTGTATGGCTAGTGAAGATCTCCTCCCAGTCCGTGGGCTTTCTATTGATCTTGCTAGCTATGTCCTTTCCCATGCAGAAGCTCTGCAGCTTCATTTGTCCAACCTTTCTTTGATTTGTTGTGTTTCTGGATCTCTATTAAGAAAATTTCGGCCTGTGCCAAGGAGACCTAGGATTTCTCCTATTCCTTCCTGTAATGTTTTCAGAGTGTCTGCTTTGACTCCGAGGTCTTTGATCCATTTGGAGTTGATTGTGGTGCAGGGTGATATATAAGGTCTAGCTTTAGTTTTCTACAAGTGATTAACCAATTTTGCCAGCACCATTTACTGAAGAGGCTGTCTTTCCTCCATTTTATGTTTTTAGCTCTCTTATCAAAGATTAGATGGCCATAGGTCTGTGGGTTAATTTCTGGGTTTTCAGTTCTATTCCATTGGTCCTGAGGTCTGTTCTTGTGCCAGTACCAAGCTGTCTTGATTACTATGGCTTTATAGTAGAGTCTGAAATTTGGTATTGATATTTCTCCAGCACTGTTCTTTCTGTTGAGGATCGTTTTTGCTATTCGGGGTCTTTTATTGTTCCATATGAATTTTTGGATTGCTTCTTCTATTTCCTTGAAGAATGAGGTTGGAATATTGATAGGTATTGCAATGATTTTGTAGATAGCCTTGGGAAGTATTGAAAAATCTGGAGTGCTTCACAAGTTTGTGTGTCATCCTTGTGCAGGGGCTATGATAATCTTCTCTGTACCATTCCAATTTTAGTATGTGTGCTGCCGAAGCGAACACTTGGTTGTGTCTTTTTATGATTTTTTTTTGTAATTAAACTGTTCTTGTAGTCCCTTATCGGATATGTGATTTACAAGTGTTTTCTCCCTGTTTGGGAATATCATTTTTTCTTCTTAATATTGTCCCTTGATGCACAAAACAATTGTGGAGTTCCAATTGATCTATTTTCCCCCTCGTTTCTTGTACTTTTTTAGAGCCGTCTAGCTTTATAGCTCTTCCTTTCACGCAACCAGTTCCTTCCAAATGAGATTAGTTATGCAAAGTCCCCGTCACCACATCTGACATATCATAGAATTTCAATACATTTCAGATTCTTCTTTTTGTACTTGAGAAGCCAGAGTAAGAAATAGTTTGTATGAAACAGATGAGTGGACTCAAATAAATTAAGAGAGAAGTCCAAACCTTTACATAAGTGGAAGAGGGATGCGGTCACGGAGCATTGACGGCTGTGCAACATGGGGTACGAGGACTTTCAGAGAATGCTGGAGGACCGGGCGAGAGGAGACTGGCAGCCCGGGCTGAACCTTCCAGAAGCCAAGCTACACAGAAGCCCAGGTGCAGTGGCAGAAAGCTGGCGCACGCGAAACAGACTTCTTTGTAAATGTGAGCCTGAAAAGGAATTTCAGAGCTTATACACTGGAAAACAATAGGTTTTTTTTAAAAAAATTATGACTAAAGTCGCATCCCTTCTTATCTTCAAAATCCTCCCCGTAATCCCACAGCACTAAAATCAAGACTATCCATCAGCTATACCCAAGGAAAACGGGAAGGCCACGTGGCGCACGCAGGAGAACTTGTGTGGGTGTTTCCCGGGGTGGTTATTGGCTCTGGCGTCCAGGCCACGGTCCATAGCACGTCCCACGAGGTGGAGGTGGTGGTGGGATTGGTGCGGGTACCACTGAGCGCTGACACAGCCCTGTGGAGCTGCTCCCGGCGACCTACTGCAGATCCCGTGAACTATGAAATTCCCCTCTCCTGGAAGCATTTTCTTCATCCTTTCTGTTTAATAGCTGCAATGATTCCGTCTTTTGCAGCTATTTACCTTGACCTCTTGCATTGTGATGAGCTATTTTTCTGCTTACTTATCTGTTGCTGCCATTAGACTTGAAAAAAAAAATGGATTGGTCAATTTGCCCCATCCCTAGGAATATGTCTTAATATCTACAGACATTGGTGGTGGTGGTTGTTTTAAACTAGGAGGGAGGGTGCTACTGACTCCCTCTAAATAAGGATCAGGGATATCACAGAAGCCTTATAAAATACAAGCTAGCCTACCGCAGCAAAGGATTACCTGACCCAAAGGTCAGGGATAGAGAGAACACTTCCTGTTTGAGGAATCTTGAGGGCAGAAATTATGACTTAATCATCTCTCTTTTGTGTCTACACAAAAGGGAATTTGGGCCAGGCACCAGCTGCTCATGCTACTCAGGAGACTGAGATCTGAGGATCTTGGTACAAAGCTAGTCAGGGAAGGAAAGTCCATATGACTTTTATCTCCAAGTCATCACCCCCAAAATAAAAGCTGGTAGTGGAGCTGTGGCTCACATGGTTAAGAGTGTGAGTTTTGAGCACAACAGCTCAGGAACAGTGCCCAGACCCTGAGTTTAAGCTCCAGGACTGGCACCAAGGAAAAGTGTGTGTTGGAGGGCGGGGGGAGGCTTTTGGAAATAGCACCAAAGGTGTTTTGGTTGACATTCACAGGAAATGTGCCCGTCCCAATCCATTGCAACCCTAAGAAACCTCCCTTGGCCCCTGGTTTTCTTTCCTTCTCTTCTCTCCTCTTTTCCTGTTCCCAATGGGGTGGTCTCCTGCTGGCCTGGTTCTTTAGCGCTCTCTTCCAGACACATCACTTGCTTTTAAGTATCTAAAGATCGTGTCTCCGAGGCTCCAAGGTCCCCTTCTCTATTCTCCATTTCAACAAGTGAGTGCCGCTAGATGAGAAGCCGGGACACCGCTGCCTCTCGATCCTACTTGCAATCCTGACCATGTGTCATCGATTCTACTCTAAGTAACTTCAAAGAGAAGCTGGATTTAGATCTGCCTTCCAGCATTACTCTCGGGAAGGCATTGATTTCCTGGATCCCTCCTTCTTAATCTCTTTACCAGTCTTCTCATTCCCAACGGCACGCTCTTCCTACAAGACAGCTCTCTCACACTGCTCCTTACAATCCCAAGACTTACTCATTTGGAAAAATAACCACTTCCTACCTTTAACATGCAGAGGAAGGTATGACTCTCCCTCAACTTGAAATTCCAACCAACTTTGTCTTCCGTTCCTCTTTGCGTGTGTTGCTTCCAGGGTCTGAGAGGCCCTTCCTGTCACACTCACTTGCTACTGGAAAAGGAGCTTGTAGCTCTCCAGGGCAACACTAACGTAGATATCGCCGTGAAGATCACGTGGAGTTGTGATCAACACCTGGCAGGAGTTGACCTTCAGGGTTTAACATTGTCCAGGACAACGCAGAGGGCTTCATCCAGACGCCCAGAAGGCCCTGAGAGCAAAGTGGAGGTTTCCCCAAGACCCACAGCGGCAGCTCCTGCAGTAGTTTCTAGCTTCTCCCTCCTGAAGGTCTGCTGTCCAGGTTTCAGATTTGTCCAACTCACATTCATCTCACCTCATTTCCCTCTCTCCCTCCTTCCTTCCCTCTCTTCCTCCTTCCTCTGTCCCTTCCTCCTTTCCTCTTTCTTTCTCTCCTTTCCTCTTTCATTCCTACACTTTCTTTCTCCCTCCCTCTCTTCACTCCTTCCCACGGGAGTGGCCAAATAAAATGTTCAGCTCCTGATATTCAATGGTGGATGTTTTACTAGTGAGTGGATTTAGTCTGTCTAGTCTTGTCATTGGAAACAAAGGAGACACCCTGGTTCCAATCTGTGCCTGGTAAGGTGCACACCTGCCTTTTGCTAGTAATTTGCCTGTCCTTACCTGTGGCACTGCCTGGAACCGAGGACCTACACTGACCAACCTCGTCCATCCTGGGGCAGGATTAGCCTGCCTCAGCAGCAGAAATAAAGCTTCAGCTTTCCTTGTCGCTTCTCCGTGCACGTCTTCCTTCCCTGTGGTCTGATGACGGCGATGCACACACATCCTCTGTGCTCCAGTCTGTCCACCTCTTAGAGAGCAGCGCTTTAGGCCCGTCCAGAACAGCCAGGCCAGAACATCTGAACTTAGCAAACGTGCGTGTTGGTAACTGAGAATCCTACGCCTCTGTGCTGGTATCCGGAGGTAGGCAGCTGCAGGTGGAATTATCATGAATAGGGATGTGTGCTGAGTTGGAGCCTCAAATGAATCCCCAAGGCTCTGGTTTGGAGAAGGGATAGAGAGCTCGTATCTGGCATCGGTAAGTTATCTTGGGCCATCTCATTTCTCTAGGTGTTCAGGATTTTACAGGGCCTTTCTACACTAAAGAGCCAGACCTTTGCCAGAGCTAAGGGAGAGGCCCTGCAAAAATGTCTAGAGCTACGTGGAGACGTTACCTGAATGAGATTTCTGGAGAGCTGGGTATGTGAGAGACAACGCTGGTTATTGACTGGGATGTTCGCCTTTGCCTACCGCTGTGGGTCTTGCTCTACTAAGATGGGGGCAGTCATGACAACGTGGTGTTTCTTCTTGGAAAGGTCAATTTATTGAAGGCTTGCAGAGTGAAGAAAAGCACCTGAGGAAAGTAAAAGCTTTGGCGGTCCTTACTTCTCAGGAGCCGCTGAGACACAGCTTGGGGCTGCAGCACTGAAGCCACTGTACTGGGGCCACCAGTACTGAAGATGCGAGGGAGGCGTGCAGGCACCCAGAGCTGCGCCCTTCTCCCCAAGACGCAGAGACAGAAGGTTTCCAGCAGCAGCTCCGAAGAGGAAGCCCTGGCCTTATGTAAGGCTCGGGAGGAACAGATGGCAGTGTGTTGAACCTCATGATGGAACATTTTCCCAATCGAGTTTAAGTGAACATGTTGTATACCCCAGACAGCTGGCATCGCGTAACTGGCACACAGGCAGATCGAAAGACAAGATGACTCTTTTCCCTCCATACTGTTTTTCTCTGTGCTACATCCACCATGTAACACCACCTCTGCTCAGATACATCGCCTGCTAAAGTAAGAGGGAGACGTTCCCTCTCGCTGTGGCATCCTTTGCAGTGAGGATCGTGTGCGAGGGTCTGTGTGGCTCTGGTATTTTAATTGGACACCTCAGGCTGCAGGGTGACCTTCTGACTTTAGGAACTCGGGACCATCAGAGCTCTGGGATGAGCCTCTCTTTAGATGATGTGACAGCCACCATAGCTCCTGACACGGCAGTTCACCCTAGAGCACTGGGGAGCCTGGCTCTCCCAGCAGAAGGTGGAATTGAAGAGGAAGATAATTTTAGAATTAAGTGTCAGGGAAAGGGGAGGTTCTTCCATTTCGATTTCCTGTTTCCTGTCTAATCTTTTTCTAAAATGTTAATAGTGGGAGAGGTGATCCACTATTTATATGCAGCAGCATCTGTGCTGGCTTCTTCTCAGCCCATGGAGAATTAAGCCCAGAAATATCTATCAACTTACGGGAAGTGGTGCATCAAGAATGTGTTAATAGGGCTGGGAAGGTGGCTCAGTGGTAGAGCGCTTGCCTTGCATGCATGAGGCCCCGGGTTCGATTCCTCAGCAAAAAGAAAAAAGCCGGAAGTGGCGTTGTGGCTCAAGTGGTAGAGTGCTAGCCTTGAGCTGAAGAGCTGAGGGACAGCGCCCAGGCCCAGAGTTCAGGCCCCACTACCGGACCCAAAAAAAAAAAAAAAAAAAAAGAATGTGTTAATAATGAATGCAATTGTCTCCTTTCATTTGCTCATCAATTGATAATATTTGGGGTGATTTTAAAGTATAGAAAATATATTAATTACACAATAAAAAATAAAAAAATTTGATATTTTCCTCTGTCATTGGCCTTTCCCTGGGTTTTTAATTTCTCATTCACTTTTTATTTAGGCATTTGTTAAAAACATATTGAGCCTAAAATAACATGACCTATTTATTGATC